AATGACATTTGTTGTGAAATGGCGCCATATAAATAAACTGAATAAAACTGAGTTGAATGTGACACGGTAAACAAAATGGCTGCCACGAGTTCAGATGTTTCTCTTCCATAATACTGATTCCTCTGTTTCCAGACTCTGGGCTCTTCTGACCTTCACTCTTCTCTGCTGAGGTTCTTTCCAAAGACTGAACAAATCATGAAGGCGACAAAACACATCGCAGTGGAGACTCATGTTCAGTATACCAACAGCACATAAATATCTTGTATATTTGGCTGAAAATGTTTGTGGTGAGAAAGTTAATTCAATGCAGTTTATTTGTATCTGAATTAGAGACAAAACTGTTAAATGTCTATTAGCTAGTATTTAAAAAATCTAGTTAAACTGTATCCAGTTACTTTATACATCCCTACGTCAATGAATGATTTTTATTTTTGTTATGCACAAGAAATTATTTCATGTTGTATAAAAAGGGCTCACATTAGACACATGCAATGAGGAAACTGAGACTGAAAGTCATCTGGGCTCCTGGAGGTCTGGGGGATGGGCAGGGGAGATAAACATCAGCTCATTTCACAGGAAGAGGCAGCCCACTGTGGTCAAGTGCAACTGAAATCAGCAGGTCTGCAAGATAATGAAATCAAAAGCAGACTAAACTCACCGAGTCATTTTAGATTAAATATCAGCCTTTGTGTTTATGAAGTTATTGTTAATGTAATAAAAGAAAATTAGCAATCATCACCCTGTATCACAATCATTCTTTGCCATTCAACATATTTGTAAACAACAGTGAATCTGGTAACCCCGCCCCCATGTTACTTTCCACTGAGGTGAGATTTTACCACATAGAAACTGGCCTGTAGCTCTGCAGAAAACAAAACATGTGCAACAAAAACTTCTCACACTAAAGCACGACTCCTGTCCTTTAAACTGACCCTCTGCAGAAACTACAAACTGTACAGGAGTTAGAATAGAATAGAATAGAATAGAATAGAATAGAATAGAATAGAAATGTCCTGTATTGTACTGTATCTCACAGTGGGAAAATCCAGGTGTGCATGTAGAAAGTTAAAGGCAAATGAAACATGTATATGGATCTAAGATAAAAAATAATAATAAAAAACAAGGGTAAATATACAACATGGGAAAACTAACACTCGTTAGTATTATAATAGCATACTCAGGTCAAAAGAAAACACCAGGATGTACAAATAACTGCAGGGATATAAATACCTGCTGAGTTTGTTGGGAGCATTGAAGGTTCTAAAATCTAACAGCTGCTGAGAGGAAGGATCTATGGTGACGCTTTGTTGTACACGTAAGATGCAGCAATCACTGTCACTAACAGAGATTTTCACTTCTGTAATAACTTCATGCATGATGTGGGGGACACTGATATTATTTCAGCCAGAGTTCTTCTATCTCCCACCACCTTCAGCTCATCTAACCCAGTGGTCTCAAACTGTATTTCTGGAGGACCAGCAACTTTTTGATGGATCCTTTGTCCTACACACCTGAATTAAGTGGTAAAATGGCCTCACTAGCATGCAGTCCAGCTCTACAGAGCTCTGCTAATGAGCTTGTATTGGAGCCAGGTGTTGCTGAAGCAGAGAGACATCTTAAGTTGTAAGACCACTGATCTAACACTTCCTCTCAGCTGGTTTGGTTTTACTGGTTTGTTCAGCCAGCTGCCTCTCCATTCTGATCACCTCTTTCTGGATTGGACTTTGTTGCATTGGGGAACCCATCAGTAACAAACATAAAGGAAACTGATTTTTCCCTCAGGCTTTTCCCACCTGTAGTGACGTCATCCATAAGATGGGAATCCTTGGAGTTCTCCCCAGTTGGCCCTCACTCTCAAAGGGACCCTGTCCCCTCAGGAACGGAGCACAATTAAAGCCGTCACGGAGGTCAGTGACTACTTGACCATGACCATTTATCGCTGATCTATCAGTAAATGACCAAACCATTATTTTCTCTCATCTTCATTCCTGAGTGTCCTCACCAGCAGGTCATAACGTCAGAAACATGCAGTTTCTTAATAAAAGCTGTAAGTTGCCTTCTGAGTCCGGTTGTCTTTTCAGGTCCTCTGAGTCACTTATTACAGTAATTATTTATTCTTCAGTGCATTTCTCCTTAGGTGGAAGATTATGGCTCACAGTGACAAAACAAGAAAATAAATTATAGTACAATTAATTAAGTGTTATAATGGGGAAAACTTGGATTCATCCTACAAACTTCTATAAAGTTTTATTTGAACAGACAGCAAATTTGTTAGCAATAGTCTTTCTGTTCATATTCATTTTCTGCACTTGTTTGATAACCCATAAAACATTAAAAAGGTTTGACTTTACAAAGACAACTGAGGAAGGATATACATACATACATACATACATACATACATACATACATACATACATACATACATACATACATACATACATAAATAAGTAAATAAATACAATATTTCTTAGAGTTTTGTACTACACTGTACTTTTTTACTTAAAATATTTAAAATATTTTAAGTAAAAATAAGGCATAAAATTTTCCAGATCCCCACAGTGAGTAACTTAATGAAGACAGTTCTCATATTCATCTACTGTCTGACCTCACATAGGAAAGATAAGCTTTCCTATTTAATAACTTTAATGTTTAAGATGTCTTTGGGGTTACAGCTTTAAAGTTTTTCACAATGGTCTCTAATTTTATTACAAAAACACTCTGATACGTGATTGTATTTATTGAGTGTACTATGATGTAGAGCTGCTCAGGTCCTTTCCAGTCTTTCAGTTTTGTCTGCATTCTCTCTGGAAAAATGAACTAAGTTTGGCTGCCAGCTTCTTCTCAGAGACAAAAGGATTTCCTTCTTGCACATCTCCAATAGAAGTTCAACTTAGGCCGTCTCTTTCTGCTTGACATGTCTTTTCATATCAACAATACCAAGCACTGGGTCATGTGATGACATTTTAGCGTTTTTGGATACTTCTTTTAATATTTTGAGGTCTGTTTTCAGGGCGAACCTACTTGAATGTCCCAACATGGGCATAGTGGCAGTTGCTTTGCATATTCCAGAATATTTTTCATTTGACTGATTTCATGTTTTTTAAGGTTTAGTGACCTTTATTTGAAAGTGTTTAGACAAGAAGGTGGGTAATAAGAGAGGGTGAAGACATGCTGCAAGAATCATCAGGTCTGGACTCCAACCTGTGATGAACCTGCAGGCCTCCATATATGGGTTGTGTTTTACCCCTGCACCACCACAGCGCCGCCCTCCATGTTTAGTTTTTTTTTCTTTTGACCAATTGAAATTCTCAACCCACCTCAAAAAGAGCCTCAGCTTTCAGACTGAGTTTGAACATAATGCGCTTCACTGAACTGAATTACTGAAAAAATTAACTTTCGAATAATATTCTAATTTGAGAGAACTCAACAATGTAACCCATGTTTCATCAACTCAAATACTTTTAAATACCTCACCACTTATTTTTATGTTATCGAATCATATGATATTGTTTTAACTGATTGTCATCATGTTGGTATCTAATCCTTTGAAACTTTTCCATCGTCAGTGTCAACAACCAGTTAACTATGAAAACACTCCTCCCTCCTCCATACAGTAAGATCACAGTAACTGGAGCACAGTTCAGATTCAATCATTGAGCTGATGTAGTCGAACTTTTCACACGATGATGAACTTCAGCTTGTTTGGGGCTTTGCTCTGCATGTTCAGTAAGTACACCTACAAGATGTATTTTTTTATATATTTTTGCTGTTCATGTGCTAATATCATCACTTATAAATATTATTTTGTTTTTCTTGAATGCACATTACAGGTTGGAGCTCGACATCGGTTTGTCAGTTTCACTCAGTTGTTGTTCAGCCTGGAGGAGAAGTCACACTGCGGTGCTCAAATCTGAGCCGTGTTCCTGTGTTTCTCCACTGGTTCAAACTGGCTGATGGACCAAACGCCACCATCATCATGTCTATGAGTTCTGGATGGAGCAAAACTCAACTTGGCCGATTTACAATGACATCCAACATCACAGACCTTTTCTTAGACATCAGATCAGTGGTTTTCTCTGATACTGGACTGTATTTCTGTGAATGTCGCACAGATGGAAACCCAGTAATTTTCACTGCAACATATTTAAAAGTTGAAGGTACAATTTTAAAAACTATAAGCAAAATAAGAAAAATAACTCTAGAGAATAATTAGAAATCAGTTTTATACTTTCCAGTAGGTAAGTCAATATTGCAGCATTTATTGCAGTTTCTAAACTTATATGTGTTTGTCTCCTCAGTAGATGTGAGTGATGAAGGTATAAATGTGCCAACTGCGATCATGAGTTCTGTGACCCTTTTCTTTGTGTTACTGATCTACTGTCTGATGGCAAAAAATGGGATTTTTCAGACAGGTATTGTTATTTTGTCATGCAAGCAAAATTTAAAAAAATGTACAAATTCTGGATAACCAACCAGATGAACTGTTTCTGTTATTTAGATCAAGTTTACACTCAGAGTCAACCACGAAATGAGGTATGTCAAAACTAAACTCAGATCTGTTTTTGGTCATTATTATGTATCATAACTTTGGTGTGCAGCAGCATAAATAATAATCATCTTGCAGTTAGAAGGTTCTCAGTTTATTCAGCTTTCCATGCTGCATGTTGTTGGAGAAGAAACTTAAACCTAAATTACTTATTAATTTAAGCACATTTGTGTGAATGTTGAATGTGGCTGGGAGAATTAGACTTGTAATGTAAAAGTTATTTGAGTGGTTGGCATGACAAAAACAGCACTATTTAAGTTTAGACCATTTACCTTCCCATGATTTGATTGGTTAAAATGTCTCCATCCACAGAATCTGAGCTCTGATGACCTGAATTATGCTGCTCCAACTTTTCACCCCAAAGCTGGAAGCAACAGAAGACCTGCAGCAGAGAGAGAGCTGGAGACAACTGCACTGTATGGAGCCACGAGATAAATTCATGTCAGACTTTAGGCTGTTTTTATTTGAGTTTTGTTTTTTTCAAACATTAGCATTTCAAGTTCTGTTTGCAGAAGATTCAATAAATCTGATAAATGTGACAGTATTGCATAGAGAAAGCCAGATGGGTGGACTTGATTCATGTAAACCTGAACTGGTGTGATTGTTTGTCATTTAGCCTGATTGTTTTATATTATCATTAGTTCTCATATTTCATAGATTCTTTGCTGCTGCTTTGCCAATGTTGTGGTGTGATTATCACTCTGTTTCTGTTTTTTTTTTTTTTTTCTGACAATGCTGCAAGAAATATTTCCCAATAATAAAGTGATTCTGACATTGACACCTTTAAAGCAAATGACCTAATTCAGCAGAGATCCAGCCAATTGGTGCTATCAGTCTCACAATGAGTGGAATGGAGATCATATGATTGCAGTGAGTGTCTGAAGTGATTGGTCATAAAAGTCCATCACTGGTTCATCAGCATTCCTGGCTGCCATTACAGCACAAAGACTAAAGAAAACTCCAAGCAGCTCAGAGAAATGTTCATTGAAAGAATAAGTCAGGGGATGGATACAAAAAAATTCTTAGACACTGAGCATCCCCTGGAGTTCAGTTAAATCCATCATCAAAAAATGGGAGAAATATGAGCCATGTGTAAATCTGCCTAGATATATGTTACAAAAACTTTAATAAGTATTTCCTGTTGTTTTAGCTCTCTGTTTATATTAGATGGATATTATAAACTGCTAGATCAAAATATGTTATTATTACTGTGTAATATTTCCACATAACTATACATGAAGCTAGTTTCATTTGTTGCTGAATTACAAAATACATTTCTTGAGGATATTCTAATTTACTTATATAAATGTGTAGAACAGAAAGAAATATGACTATGTTCACTTGTCAGGTAATAAATCACTCTAGAATAACAACCTTTAAACATACTTTTAATTAAGTCGACATTTCTGTACCAAAAATATGTTTATTTATCTGATGTAATATTCTAATTTTAAAGCCATGTCTTTATTAGCTGTAAGCAAAAAATCATCATAACAGAAATAAAATCTTGAAAACAGCAATCTGTGTGGAATTCATCTGTGTAATGTGTTTCACTTTGTGACCCAAGTTACTGAAAAGAAATGTAACATTGCAATTTATTGAATATGACTAACTCACTTTAAAAATACATTACTGCTTATTTTTCTATGTTGTCAACCAGACGATATTGTTTTAACTGATTGTCACCATGTTGGTATCTAATCGTTTGAAACTTTTCCATCGTCAGTGTCAACAACCAGTTAACTATGAAAACACTCCTCCCTCCTCCATACAGTAAGATCACAGTAACTGGAGCACAGTTCAGATTCAATCATTGAGCTGATGTAGTCGAACTTTTCACACGATGATGAACTTCAGCTTGTTTGGGGCTTTGCTCTGCATGTTCAGTAAGTACGCCTAAATAATGTATTTTTTATATAATTTTGCTGTCTGTTTGTGTGTTAATCAATTACAAATATTATTTTGCTTTTCTTGAATGCACATTACAGGTTGGAGCTCGACATCGGTTTGTCAGTTTCACTCAGTTGTTGTTCAGCCTGGAGGAGAAGTCACACTGCGGTGCTCAAATCTGAGCCGTGTTCCTGTGTTTCTCCACTGGTTCAAACTGGCTGATGGACCAAACGCCACCATCATCATGTCTATGAGCAGTTTAAACAAAACTCAACTTGGCCGATTTACAATGACATCCAACATCACAGACCTTTTCTTAGACATCAGATCAGTGGTTTTCTCTGATACTGGACTGTATTTCTGTGGATCTCGCACAGATGGAAACCCAGTAATTTTCACTGCAACATATTTAAAAGTAAAAGGTAAGATTTTTAAGTATTGTCTGTAATATGAAAAATAAATAAAAGATGTAAAAATGAATTTCATATTTTAGAACACAAAAGATTAATATAACCGCATCTATTTCAGTTTCCAAACTTATACATGTTTGTCTCCTCAGTAAATGTGTATGATGAAGTAACAAATGTACCAACTGCGATCCTGAGCGCTGTAACAATTTTTCTTGTAATACTCATCATCTGTCTGGCAGCAAAAATTTGGATTTTGCAAAGAGGTATTGATACATCATTTATATGACACATGTAAAAATTTACAAATTCTGAATCTGTAAATGTTTAAATAACTAGATAAACTGTTTCTGTGATTTAGCACAAGTTTATACTCAGACTCAACCACAGAATGAGGTATGTGAACTAATACTCTGTTACTGGTGATTATTATAGATTATAACCTATAAGTTTGGTTCAGTGGGAATAATAATCATCTTACAGTTAGAAGGTTGTTTGCCCACGTCATGCTGTTGCCCCCCTTAGGGGCAAGAAACTTCACCCTAAGTTAACAACTGATTTGAAAATGGGTGTGTGAATGTCGAGTGTGTGAATGTCGAGTGTGTGAACGTCGAGTGTGTGAACGTCGAGTGTGTGAATGTCGAGTGTGTGAACGTCGAGTGTG